ACTGTGTTTTTTTATTGTTTCTATTTCAGATTTCAACCCTTGCACTGTTTGAATTGTTTCTTGCAATTTTGTCTTTTCGTCCATTTGTTGCATTTTTTGGTTTGTTTTTTCTTTCATTTTTTTATTTCTTCCATTTTTTAAAAAGGGATTTTTCCCATATCCTCTTTGAGGGCCTCTATCATTTTCATGAAACTTGTAAAGTCATTCTCTTCTGCTTCATTTGCATTGGAATGTTAGAGTCATGCTGGTGTGGAGTCTCTAGAATCTAGTGGTATCATATTTGCTTTTCTGTTGCTGAGTGTGTTTTTGTATTGTCTCTTTTCCATCCCTTCTTCTAGTGGGTGCAGAAAGAGCCTCTTCCTTGCCTGGTAGTTAGGGGACCAGAGTTCCCTTTCGGTGGGTGCAAGCACGTCCAATACTCTCTTAGTTCTCCTCTTCCTGGTCCTAGTCCTGGTCCCGTGGGTGGAGAAGAAGACCAGGAATCTGGGGTGTGTAGGCTCCCGCTGGGAGGGGAGGCTCAGTGGCAATCTCCAGGCACTGGAACAGGGGCGGGGGAAGAAACAGATCCCGAAATTGCCTGGTGGAGAAGACCAAGAAACTGGGATGTGTAGGTTTCTCCTGGGAAGGGAGGCTCAATGGCAGTCCAGTTGTCTAACTCTTAAAGCCTCAGTTTCTTCACATGGAACATGGAAGCAATGATGAGTAACAGCATAAGTGCCTAGCTAAGCAAAGAATTTGGTTCAATAATTGCTAACTTATTAACATCTCTCACAGGATAAAATTTTTACTGAATTTTATTTTTATAAAATAAGTGAGTAAACAAAATAGCACTATCTGTTTATTTTTATTTTACTATACTAAGATTTAAACTAGTATTTATTTATTTTATACTTATTTAGTATGTTTTATCCATGAGTAGTCGTGTGTGTGTGTGTGTGTGTGTGTGTGTGTGTGTGTGTGTGTATGTGTATGTATGTGTGACATGATGTTCAGGGAACACATGTGGATTCTGGGGACTGAACTCAGATCATCAGGCTTGGTAGCATGTGCTCTTACCTGCTAAGCCATCTTACTGAAATTTTTTTTTGTTATTGTGAGACAGTTTCGTATAGCCCTGGTTAGCCTTGAGTTTCATATACACTTGAGGATGACCTTAAAATTCTGATCCTACTGCCATCACTTCCTAAGTACTATTATTACAGGGATGTGCCATCATTCCTGGAAACTGAGCCAGGGCTCTGTGGATGCTAAGTAAGGACTCTTTTCCGCAACATACCTAGCCTCCTGGTTGTCCCCTCACTTCCAACTCTGTTATTTGTGTCATGGTCAAGCATGGAGTTCCAACACAGAGGCTAGACATTGCTATACTTAAAATACACAGTAGTTTCCACAAGACTTACATTGCAACCCTGGTATAGCTAGAGCCCTGAACATCCTGCAGGCTCTGCTGCAATCTTCTCTTTCATCTCTCCTGATTGTTTGCACTTCTACATCCTCTTTTCCACTTCCTGGGACCCTTTCCACTTCCTAGGACTCATTAAACCACCACCGAGTCCCTGCCTTAAATCACTACAATTTGTCTTCTTTCTCAGGATGCTCTTTTTTGGATCTTTTATATATTTATGTGTCTGTTCAAAGGCCATATTCCTAGACAGAGCCTTCTATACTCTAGTTAAATTTGCATACTTCCCACTTCCTGCTCCCATCACTCCCCATTTTATTGCATTGCTTTATTTTTCACATAATGCACATTACCTAATATTATATTGTTTACTTATTTCTCTTTTATCATCTATTATTTCTCACTAGAATATAACCTTCAAGTCAAGGACATTTTCTGCTTTTTTTACTTCTGTATCTCCATGTCCAGGAACAATACAAGAAAAATAAAGGTGGTAGAAACTATGTAGGAAACTACTAAATAAATGAACTCACTGGGGATTCCTGAGAAGTGACTCTATGTGGGTAATATTGGTCTGCACTATACCCCAGAGAGACATCTCCAGAGCCTCCAGGAACTGTTTCTCTCGTTTCCAAGATGAGATACGTCCAATGTTCTGGGGGCGGGGAATGCTTGAAAAGCCATCTGATAACTTGGTGTTCCTGTGATTTTTTTAAAAAAATCAGATCAAGGTAAGCTTTACCTTTTGTTTAGAGAAGAGTTTCTGTGAAAATGGATTCTGTCTCTGTCTTCCTCCCCCTTTCAATGAGGTAATAAAAACGACAACAGCCAAGGGTTCTTATTTCTCTCATCACATATTAAAACTACCTATGGTTTCATACTATGTACACTTAAGAAGAAGATTTCTTGCCCTCAACTGGTAGGTGACATGTTGTTCTCCTGTAGACAAAATGTGGTAAATTTTTATTTTCCTACCAGTCCATGTATGTAAAGCTGAAAGTCAAAAAGGTGACAGATGTGGGGACATGGCTGTGGCAAGTCAACATGGAGCAGTGGGTAAGTGCACACAACCTGCAGCCTCTTGGCTGGAGTTAGGATGCAGGTTTTGCATTTATACATAAAGAGACAGCACCTTCTTTGTCAGTTTTCTATGAAGAATAAATGAATTAACTAATAAAAAATACTTAGTGCCAGGCATCTAATAAACATGAGTCACTTCTGAATACACGAAGCATCAGCAGGCACTCAGTTCCCGTTAGCTACTAGCTTTTATTGAGCTGGCCTTAACTATTAAGAAAAAGTTGTGTTTCATTTATTGTATGCAAACTGTGTGTGAGTGAGTATAGGGTAAAGAAAAGCTGTCCTCAACAAAGCTAGAAGTTTGTACCTAGGATATAGACAGGGAGGCCAACATGTATACAGATGATCAAGAGGAAATGAAGTGGAGTGAAGGACTGGGCTGACCAGGCACAGGGTGTGAAACAACTATCTGCATCTTATTTATTTATTTAATTTTAAAAACAAATTATGCTTTATTCATAATTAACTAAATTCAGCATTGCTGTTTACTAAAAGACTAAAATATTATAAAATGGTAAATATGGCTTATAACTTAAAATCTAGATTCTGTTGACACTGGAAATAACTCTTGTATTATTGTTTTTATTTTCTGTTATGTAACAAATGCATCAACTTAAAAAATATAATTTCCAACAATTATATTGCATTAGCTTAGCCTTGTATTCTAAATGTGATTGTTTGCATATTTTCTATTAAAATGAGACTCTCCTTGTTGTTTTAATTCATTTCTAAACTTAGACTCCTAGAGTAGAATGAATAAATTTGAATTAAATTGTTAATTTTTTGTTTGGGATATCTGTAACCCACACCAGTAAGAAGTTGTATAATGAACACTTATGGGAACATTGCCAGCTTGGAAAGTTGTCAATAGCTTGACAAAATAGAGCATTTGAAGGCATTATTAAATCATTTTTCTAGCAACAATGAGAACAAATGTTGTTTGAAAATTGTCACAATGAAGCCTAATTCTTTATAAGCTGATAAACTAAAGAATAAAAGCAACTTTTTTCCCTCAAATCTTTGAGCCTTCCACTCTCCTAACAACTAGCTTGCAAGTATTAATTTCTCTACAGAGTTCCTAGCATGGAGGATCACTATTTATCAATATTGCTATTTGTTCTTTGAGAATTTCATACATATATACAGTGTACCTTGATCGTATACACCCCTACTCCTCCTCACTTTCCCCCAGGACTCACCCAACATGTGCCCTGTCCTTCTCCCACTTTTATGTCTCCTTTTCTTTTTAATACCCTAGTGAGTCCAGTTTGCATTGGCTGTATGAGCATAAGCAACCTATTGGTGGTCACACTTCTAAAGGAAATGGTTCCTCCTCCAGCAGCCCGACCACCATTGCAAAAGAAAAGTCAAGCACATACTGAAGCTCAGTTGGTTATCAAGCCAACACAAACCAACAGTTATTTGAGTTTGTTCTTTGATTCCCTCCGTCTCTTTTAGCACAATAGTGTTCTTAGCCTAGCTTTTCTGAGTACCCTCTGCAAACATATAGGGAAAGAATATTCTGGCAGCTATGTTTGGCCAGTTTCATTCAACTGAAAATGTTAACCACAATGGCAGGGACATGTTTGAATGTATCTGCAAGTCCTGATTTTAACAAACTCAAGTTTAGATTCATTGAAGTGTCAGTGAGGGCATGAGTGGTGACCAGGGCAATGGAGATTTTAAAAAAGTTATTCCTGAAGTTATATTTTAGAAAAATACTCCATTTTCATGTAAAAATTGTTTTGTGAGTTAGGATTTAGTAATTGGGTATGATAATGCAAGAATAAGAAGTATCCTTTAAAACTCTCAGAATTGAGCAAACAGTTTAAAAAGCATTTAAAAGAGACTACACTGGGTCTATGATATTTTGGTAGGTGAGAATGGGAGCCCTGTACAAGGAGGTTGCAAATACTTTGTAAAGTAGTTGCTGTCAGAAAATGTCTAAAGGAAAAATGTGAAAGAAGACGAAGCACTAGTAAGGCTGATAGTTGGCACAGCATAACTATAAAATTGGATTGTTGAAGATTTAGGAAAAAAGTAACAAAATTCCAAGTCAAAGGACTACTCAGGGTGACAATGTGGCCTTTTTAATTTCTCTGGAATCGGAATACCCACATTTACAACAACAGCGATAAAGGGCAGACTGGTATAGCTTGCCTTCTGAGGTTGGTGTGGGAATTGCATGCATCCATAGAGATCTGTACATATGAGCTATTCTTCTGGTGCATGGAATAGAAGCAAAGCGGCACGAAGCTTGCGAGAAAGCTTTACTCCAGAAGAGGAATAGTGATCAAGCACAGAGTGGAAATCACAAAGAAACATAAATTGAGAACCTCATGCATGTCTGGCATTGGTCTCTGTACTTGTAGACATGTGCTCTCATTTAATTTTCACCAACACTCTGAGGCAGGTGTTATACATTTCTGAATTTTACAGTGAAAATTCTGGAGTCCATATTTCTCAGTGACATGGGCCAGTAACTTTACCCTTAACTTCTTTCCTTGAACTAGGTCTAATGGAGGAGGAAAATCAGACTGGAGTGGTATACTTCCACTTCTGCCCCTTTTCAACCAACTCCACAGTAGCTTCTCTGGTGTTTGTGGGCTTCTTGCTCCTGTATCTAGGAAGCCTCATTGGAAACCTCACCATTGGGCTCACCGTCTGGCAGGATCACTCACTCCATACCCCAATGTACTTCTTCCTTTTTGTGTTGGCCACGCTAGAGCTTGGCTATTCCACCAACATTGCTCCATTGACTCTGGCCAGCATCCTCTCCATGGGGAAGATGCTTATCTCTCTGCCCAGCTGTGGGGCCCAGATGTTCTTCTTCATCCTTCTAGGAGGATCTGACTGTGTCTTGCTCGCCATCATGGCCTATGACAGGTATGTGGCCATCTGTCATCCACTGCATTACAGCCTCATTATGAGCTGGCAGCTGTGTGGGCAGATGACTTTAGGTTCTCTGGGGCTGGGATTCCTATTGTCACTGCCTTTGACCATTCTGATTTGCCACCTTCCATTCTGTGGCCACAATGAAATCTACCACTTCTTCTGCGACATGCCTGCAGTCATGCGCCTGGCCTGTACAGACACCCGCATACATCAGGCAGCTCTCTTTGCCATCAGCATGGCTGCAGTGGCCATTCCTTTTCTCCTTATCTGTCTATCCTATGGTTGCATCGTGGCTACCATCCTGAGGATGAAGTCAACAGAGGGGAAGCGTCGGGCCTTCTCCACCTGCTCCTCACATCTCCTAGTGGTTGTCCTGCAGTATGGGTGTTGCACCCTTATCTACCTTCGCCCAAGTTCCAGCTACACCCCAGAGGAAGGCCGGGCAGTATCTGTTGTCTATACTTTTTTCTCCCCATTGCTGAATCCCTTAATCTACAGCATAAGGAACCAAGAGGTGGCTGTTGCAGTCAAAAGACTTTTGGCAAGAATGTTCTGGCTCAGGAAGCCAGAAACATTCCTTCCCGGGAAAATTATTCACTAAACAAGAGGGACTGATGGAAAGGAAGCTCATAACGAATAAGCAGTGACAATGGAGCAGTAGTTGTGCTCATTATCATCCTGGTCTGTGAAATGCTGATCTCACCATCATCCCCTACTTGTATTTTCAATGACTAAGTCCTGGATTGACTCATGCTGCCCTAAAGAGCCATCTGTTCATCAGAGAAGAAAAGAAGAAATGAATGAACAGAGTGGTGGAACATGGCTGTCATTTTGTCACATTTTAAGTCTTGTAGACACCAATGCATCTAACACATAAATGCTCCTTTGACTTTGCTTTTCAACATTAAAAGTCTACTGAGACCCCCACTTTCTTTATTTTTTCATTTAAATGAGAAACAAGCTTGCTTCATATGTCAATTCTAGCTCCTTCTCCCCTCCTCCCCTACTCCCTCACCAGGCCCCCAGCCCCCCTGCTAATCCCTACTCTGATCCCCTGGGAGGGTGAGGTCCCCCATGGAGGATCTTCAGAATCTGTCATTTCATCCAGGGCAGGGCCTAGGCCCTCCCCCAAGAGTCCAAGCTGAGAGAGTATCCCTCATTGTGGGATGGGCACCCAAAGTCTGTTTGTACACCAGAGATAAATACTACCCAAGGCTTCATAGATTGCCTAGGCCTCCTCACTGACACCACATTCAGGGGGTCTGGATCAGTCCATGCTGTCCTCCCAGCCATCAGTCTAGGGTCCAAGAGCTCCACCTTGTTCAGGTCAGCTGTTTCTGTGGGTTAAACCAGCACAGTCTTGATCCCTTTGCTCATCTGTCCTCCCTTTCTGTCACTGGATTTCAGGAGTTCAGTTCAGTGTTTAGCTGTGTACACCCCACTTTCTTAATGTAATCTTGCCATTATATCTGATAGTGCTCATTAAAAACTGAATTATACTCTTTTTTATAATATTGAGTTTAATATGTCATGATATTAACTCTGCCAAAAAAACTTCTTGAGGCAGAAAAAAGTATTATTCTTTGCATTTTGCACATTGCTAAGGAAATAGTAAGGGCTTAGGATCCATCAAACAAAGTTGAGTCCTAATCTTTCCTTCTTTATTTGTTCCATTATTTTATGTGTTTGGGTGGTTTGTACATATGTATATATGTACACCATGTGCATACCTGGTGCTTAAGGTCAGAAGAGGGTATCAGATCTGCTGGGACTGGAATTACAGATGTTTGTAAGTTGAAAATAAACAGTAATATCTATCTATCTATCTTTGTATCTATCTATCTATGTATCTATGTATCTATCTACCTACCTACCTACCTACCTACCTACCTACCTACCTACCTGTCTATTCTTTGGAGTCAGACAAAGTTACATTTGGCTTGGGCAAGAAAATAGCTTAAGCTCAGGAGATTGGTGGAGCGGGTTAGATGAAGAATTGGGAATACAGAATGATACTTTCAAAGTATCTTTGTTTTTGATTTTTCAAGACAAGGTTTCTCTGTGTAGCTTTGTAGGCCAGACTGGCCTCAGACTCACAGAGATCTGCCTGCCTCTGCCTCCCGAGTGCTGGGATTAAAGGCGTGCGCCACCACCGCCCGGCGATATCTTTCTTAAAAAGATGAGATGGACTGTATCATAGGGCCAAAGTGCTTGCTGTGCAACTTTGGGAATCTGGGTTTGAATCCTGAGTGCCCACATAAAAATCCAGGTATGGCCAATGTGTGCCTGCAGTTTCATGCTTGTGGGGCTGAGGGTGGGGGCAGACAGGTGGATCACTGGGCCTTGCTGGCTCCCATGCCAGTTTTAGGTTCAGAGAAAAGCCTTGTCTCAAGGGAATAAGGGGGAGAGTTGTAGAACAGAACAATTGGTGTCATCTTCTGACCTTAGTGTGTATGAATTGGTGTTCACACCTGTGTACATGTGCATACATACAACACACACACACACTATAAAGAAACCATTTTCTTGTATTTAACTTTTATTTTTATATGTGTTATATATTTAGCATTTATGTGTATGTGTGCATATGCTATTTGAGTGTATGTGCTCTCAGAGGCCAGAAGAGGGTGTTGGAGCTCCTGGAGCTGTACTTATAGGAGGTTGTAGGTCCCTAACATGGGTATTGGGATCTGAACTTGGGTCCTCTGCAAGAGTAGCAAGTGTACTTAACCTCTGAGCCATCTCTCAGCCTCCACCCCATTCTTCTCTTAATTTTACAAATACATCACAATAGTGGTAACAGACCATCTATCCTTTATCTGATGCTACAACGCACAAGTCGGGGAGAACAGAGAAGAAGAACAAGAATTCCTGGGTCTGTGGCCAGGTGAAAACACCAAAATGCACGGGGCCATAAAACCCTTTTCACTAATCCTAATAAGAAGGACATCCAATGAATACTTCATCACTAGTCATGTTATTTGTTGAAATTAATGAAGTCTATTTTAGGGTACTATATCTTCAATAGCTTTTCAAATAAGATTTAAAACAGCTCAAAAATGCTTCTATAAAAGTTAAAATGATGAGGCAGAGGCAGGTGGATCTCTGTGAGTTCGAGGCCAGCCTGGTCTACAGAGTGAGCTCCAGGACAGCCTCCAAAACAATACAGAGAAACCCTGTCTCAAAAAACCAAAAAAAAGTTCAAATGACAAAATCAAAAGGATTGGATTAAAGAAGGAAATTCAAGCAGGATTTTAAAGAACTCAGTAGTAATATTGCTATTTTAAAATACACTTCTACATATTTGAGAGTGCTCTCCTACATGTCTCTGTATTTCCTAATAGCCAATGGAAACAATAGAATACAATTAAATTTGAGGATACTAGCATTCACCTAACAGCCAACAATTATATGGAGACATCAAATACTTTTCCTGGGTAACACTTAGATTTAAAAGGATCATCTCCCACAGTTTTCAAAAGAGGATACTACATATGTAATAACATACCAACATTCATAGCATTATCTATTATTCATTGAACATTTATGTATGCATCTGATAATATCTTAGCTACTTAGTAAGTGCTAACTCATTTGGTCATCACAAACTCATCCTCATGTTACTTGCAAAGAACCATGTTACATAGAGGCTAAATAATTCTCCCAACATCTTGCACCTAGTAAGTGGTAGCACCATCTTGTCCCAGAGCCAAGGGCTTTAAGACAAAATGAAGAGTTCAGAAGTCTGAACTCTTAAAGGTGAATGTGGTAGCATCTCTGTCAGGAAGTGCTCCACAAACAGTTCTACACAGAACCGATTGTAGCAATAGAGAAGAGAACCCCAGGCTACAGTTTCTGCTCAAACATTGGAACATATATATTCTACAACAATAACGAGCCAAGAGGTTTTACATTCACTGATCAGTTTTCATTTCCTTCATTACACATTCATTGTCATGCTCCAGTTTCATAATGGAATTTTAATGGGATTACATTTGAACACTGTGAAATAATGACATTATGTTCTAATTTAATTTATTTTTAATTCAGAAATAAAATTGTGGTCTGAGCCTGCTGGAGTGATTTGTGGTGGTATTAGCTAAGTGAAGGAAATGGTTCTGTTGCTAATTAATTTTTAGAAGGCAGTTATTTATGGAAACTAGATATTTGTTTATTTAATTTAAATATATTTTATCTACTCTGAGAATTTCATATACATTTATAGTGTATTTTGATCATATTCACCCTCTGTTCCCCCCTCCTCTTTGTTCCACCTCCCAACTTCATGTCTTCTTTTCTTCTTCTTCTGTTAAATAGCCCAAGGAGTCTAGTGCTGTCTGTATGTGCATATATTTAGGGTCATTCACTGAAGCATAGTCAACATGCCAGGGACTACACCCCTAAGAAAACTGACCCCCGAAAGCTGTCAACTGTCAATAGCTCCTTAGCCAAGGGTAGAGGATGCTGAGCTCCTCCCCATCCATGTGTTGGCGCTGATCCTGTGTGGGCAACTGCAGCTGCTGTGAATTCAGAACACAACAGTTCCGTCGTGTCCAGAAGACACTATGTCACCAGACCTGGTTCTTACCAGTCTTTCTGCCCCTCTTCTGTGATGTTCCCTGAGACTTGGTGAGATGGTATGACGTAGACATCCCATCACTCTACACACATACTTGTTCTGAATTTTGATTGGTTGTATCTGTATTAATTGCCATCCACTATACAAAGAAAGTTTTCTGATGACAACTGAGAACTGCACTAACCCATGTACCTAGAGAAAAGTATTTAGAAGGCAGTTTGTACCATGTCCATTCAGTAAAACAGTAGTAGGTTCACCCCTTGAGCCTGTGAGCTCCCTGGCCATGGATTCTTGACAAGATTTTAAGTAGGAGGTGTGAGTTTCCTCCTGTGAATTGAGTCTTAAGTCTAATGAAAAAGCAGTTGGATATACCTATGTTTAATACCATTATTGCACACATGCACACATCTTGCCTGGCTTGTTGTAGTTCACAGGATTCACAGCTATGTGAGACTGCTGATGACACCCCTCACACAAATGCTTGCATAGCACCTCCTAGTACTATGCAAGCCAACCATCAGGGAAGAAGATTAGAAGATTCCAGGTCAATACCAGTTTGATTTCTCCAAGTCCTGTAACCAAAGGCAACCAAAGCAGGCCCAGCTATAGTGTTTTACCCTCAAGGTCTAGTGGCAAACAAGAACAATAACAATAAGTTGTGTTGTCTTGGATGTTGTAGAATAATCTTTTTGTCAATTGTGAAGGTGTGTCACTCTGATTGGTTTAATAAAAAGCACATTGGGCAGCATGTAAATTGATAGAAATGAGTTAAGTTTGAAGAGCTAGTTAGAAACAAGTTTAAGCTAAGGCTAATCTTTCATAATTAATGTGTCTCCATGCCATTATTTGGGAGCTTGTGGGACTTTGAGAAAGACTCGCTACACTTGGAGGTCTCTGAGATCCTCCCCTTCTGCCAACAACTCAAAGGGTGGTAAGCCACACCTTTTTGTTTGATAACCTGTGGCTTCTGGGAGAAACATGAACACTAAAATTTTAAAATGAAAATTTCAGGTAGGCTTTGG